TCTTCTGCCTACGCAAATATCCAAATCTGTAAGGTACTAGCTACTTTTGTGTTTGACAGTACAGTGGCTTAAAACACTGCTTTTTCTATCATGGCTAGTGCTCTACTGGAGCCACACCTCCAATCTAGCTTTTTTAGTGGTTAATTGGATATGGAGTCTCAAGACATTTCTGTCTAGACTGACTTTGGCTTCACAGTCAGATCCCCAAATCTTAGCTTCTTGAGTAGCCAGGATTGCAGGCATACAACTGGAATCATAGTTTCTTCTACCAGTAATGACAGGCTTGCGCACTGACTCTGTACTCTTCTGCTAAAGGGTAGTCCTCAACCACTTGAGCCTCAGCCCTACTTCCAACTCTCTGGTAGGTAACCAGAGGTCAGTCTCGTCAGTCTCACAGACTTTTCCTGCCCTAGCTGGCTTTGAACCATGCTCCCTAGGTCTAATTTCTGAGCAGCTAAGATTACATGCATGAACATGGGTGTTCTGCTTATTCATTTTTATTGCATGGCTGCCTTTGCAAAACATGATGTCATATACTACCATAATCTAAATAAAGTGGAATATAATCTCTGTAAGGCATGAGTTAAGAGGGACAGTTGAAGAGGAAAGGTTATCCTGGAAATAATATTCTAGAAAAGTATTTGGTGCTTTTCACTTCAAGAGATTTGTGTACAAGATCACATGGAATTAGTGTCAATGGGCAGTAAACCACCGAAATCATTGCAACACCATAGTGTTAGAAAAATCTTAAGATAAAATGAGCTGGTTAAATGCCCATACTGTTGCTGGATACCCCATCCCTAAAGGAGCTTGAATCGAACACTGCTTTATTCACCCACAATTCTACTACAGGCCAGCACTAACATTCTAGCATGTTTGTTTAGGAGTTGCTTTCTGCATACTTTTTATCATGAAATTGCAACTCATATACAAACTACTTTTTACTGAAAAATATTCCTATTTTGATGACTACCCATATGTACTTATATTTCTGCTTGTTAGACATTTACAATTTAGAAAATTGGCTATCTGTAGTTGATTCACTTGTGCAAAATGAGGATTAGATCTCAGACTTGCTCCAGTAAAGGAGTTACTATGGCTTAGGTGTTTGGGTCTATCCCCCAAAAAGCTATTTGAAATCCTTCCAAGAGATGGTTTTAGGTGAGGCCTTGAGAGGTGATTAGGACACGAAAGCTTAATGTGTTTACAAAGTAGAAGAAAACTCATTTTCCTCATCTACCACATGAAAACAAACAGGACAGTTACCTAAGAATCCAGAAACCTGAATAATGTACATCCATAATCTGGTCCCTTGATCAGATTTCCAGTCTCCAAATCTATTGTCCAAACCACACTGTACTCCTTTTTAGTAGCTGGAGTAGACTAAGGCCAGATTCAGACTTCAGCATGTACATCCTTTATGTTCCAATGGCTGTACCAACCTGTCTTTATGGCTTCTGTTCTATTTTGCCATCAAAGTCTAAATTTTCACCGAGGATTTTTTATTAATATACAAAGCATCTTACCCTGTGCTGTGATATGGGAGAAAACAGCTCCTGATACTTGGGGGCAGAAGTATTTTCAGGGAAATTGGCCTAGTGGTAGAGTACTTGCCTAGCATGCATGAAGCTCTGGGTTCCAGTCCTCAGTACCACATAAACAAAGAGGTGGAAGAGGCACTGGGGCTCAAGTAGACTGCTAGCATTGAGGAAAAAGAAGCTCAGGGACACTACCCAAGCCCTGATTTTAAGACCCAGGACCATGGGCTGGGAAGGTGGCTCAGTGGTAGAGCACTTGCCTTGCATGCTCCAGGCCCTGGGTTTGATTCCTCAGCACCACATAAGCAAAAAGAAAAAAGCCGGAAGTGGCACTGTGGCTCAAGTGGTAGAGCGCTTGCCTTGAGCTGAAGAGTTGAGGGACAGCGCCCAGGCCCAGAGTTCAGGCCCCACGACCGGACCCAAAAAAGACCCAGGACCAGCCCCCACCCCCCTAAAAAAAAGCTACTGCAGCCCCCCGACTTTCTGCCAGTCACTAGGAAATCCCATCTAGAAATATTTTCCTCACAGGACTTACGCAGTAAATTCAATTAATAAGATTTTATTGCTGTGATCAACTCACTTGAGTACAAGCTGAGCTTCCTGAGGTTCTGTACCATTTAATTAAGAAAATATGTAGTTTAAGAGCATCCTGACAGGAACAGAAAAAATTCACCTACTAGCCGGCACCAATGGCTCTATCCTGTAATCTTTACTGCTCAGGAGGCAAGATCTGAGGACCATAGTTCAAAAGCCAGCCCCAGCAGGAAAGCCAATTAACCAGCAAAAATCCATTAGTGGAAATGTAGCTTTAGTGGCAGCACACCAGTCGTAAGCCATAAGGCCAAGGCCCAGTACCAGTATACACTGATTAGCTGTATCAGAATATAGGTCCTGCTGTACCAACTGAAAATCAATCATGCACAGCCTCTGTCTTGATGGAATATGTGTCTATGTATTTAAAATTAGTTGCTAGACCTAACTACTACTCAGTCAGTGCTCCCTGCTATATAAGGTTTATTTTGCAAGCTTCCCTCTGTAAAATGTGCCAAATGCTAAGACCACAATCTAAGCAAATGCAAGGCTGGCCTCCATTAGCTTTTTCAATACATTTACTTGCACTGGCCCAGCTCAAGGCAACAAGTCAATGACTCTGAAGATTGTTAGGTATTCAAAATAGAAGGCACTTCACATAATGAAACAAAAGTTAAAAACAGAACTAGTATTTACCAAACTTCTATAACCAATTAACTAGTCATGTTAAGCATAAGTTGAAGGCTTCTTGAATTTTTATTTTATGTACAAATATGGTCTTTCATTGGGCTTGAAGTCTTGGATAGTCCATTCACTTAGTCCAACTGAAAAAGAAAAAAAAAGGAATTATTTTAAAACACTGCAAATTGCAACTTGGTTCACAAATACTGGCTCACTGCAAAATGTTTACACTACCTACTATAATTACTAAGAGCTAAGTAGTTCATATACCCACTTCAGAATGTAACCTTAAGTACTGTCAGTCTCTTTCCCTCAGACTTTCCCATGTACAACAGTACTGTACCAAATGCTCAGAATAACTATTAAGTAACCTGAGAAAGTAGGGCTAGGGGCCAGCACCATTCACTCATCTGGGATAAGACTTCGGTACTTTAACATTAGGCATAAACTTAACATTAGGCATAAACACCTTGCCATCACTACTGCACCTGAGAGCTCTCACATAACAACTTACATCCACTAACTGACATAGTCCAAATAATATAAAAGTTGGTAACTTTTCAAGAACCATGTGAGCAATTTAGTATCCACTGTTTTTTTAAAAGCCAAGCACTTCATTTTTAGGAGCCAAAGAAGCCTCACAATCAAAGTCATAAAACCATCAAAAGGCAGGCCTTTATAAAGGTCTGGCTGGCCCCAAATCCCAAGATCATTCATATGACAAAAACCAAGCATGCGGACTATGGCTTAACATTATCAGGTTTTGCAAACCTGTTGGGATTGTAAAACTGCACCGAAAAAAAATAAAAGTGTCGAAAGTGGCCCCTTCACTGCCTCCCCAAACTCTTATTTTACTCATCTGACCGCTCGGCGTCATTAATCCTCCACTCACAGCCTAGCCAACCAGCACATCGGAAAATGGCGCTAATGCCACCCCGGCGGCGACCTCCCGGAGGGAGAAGACGGAGCATGGCGCCGGCGGACGCCTACCTTAATGAAGCCGATGTCCTTCGCATACTGGCGGAAACACTGCCGGCACATGTTGAGCCCGTACTTCCGGATCAGACCGTGGCGATTAGAGCACACGCGGC